TAATAATAATAATAATACCTTTACAGCCATGTAATATGCTCTAGTCATCTGTTAACGCATATATTCCCCTCAATCATATCTGTACATAAAGAAAATCACTACCGAAATCAATCCGTTGACTAATGCAACATTTATGCCCGAGCTATAAGTTTCTTTTAGGTATCTTAGTTATGACTACAGCCAGTACTCACTAAATTTTAATTTCAGAATAATGAAAATCATCATCTGTTTCAAGATATCTCTACTTCCGCTTCTGTTTATGATTGATTCAGGTGACTCAGTATAAAGTTTTCCGCATTTTTTATTCTAACTAGTTCACTAGTTACTAGCAAGTCCTAAGCCCGGGTAAACAGGGAAGGTTGTGCGTAGGGCCAGCAACCCTACCCTGTAAAACAAGTCCAGTAGTCCAAGCTTCGAAGCACAAACAAACTACAAAAAAAAATATTCCTCGCTGGAATCGGAGAGGCGAAATGATGCCAGTTGGTGGAAGCCTTCGGGAAACCAATTGGCCGATGTCTCTTCTCTCCCTCGATGAAAGCGAAAATAAACGTGGGGACATGGAATGTCCGCACTATGTTTGAAGCCAGCAAAGCTGCCCAAATTGTAAAGGAGATGAGAAGGTATAGCATTGTAGTGTTAGAAATTTGCGGAAGCAGATGGAATGGGAGTGGACTCTGCATACTGTCAACTGGAGAGTCAATAATCTACTCCGATATTGTCACCCAGAAGACAACCACAAGCACAGCAAACTGAGCACTCGAGTGGCCATCATGATGTCCACCTCCCAAGAGCATCGAAGGCTGTCTGTCATGCAGTGGGAACCAACCTCCCCCTACAGGTTCATGACAGCAAGGTTCAACTCAAAAGGAAGGAAGGTCACAATCACACAATGCTACGCTATGCACCTACAAATAATGCAGAGCAAGAGAAAAAGGAGGAATTCTACAGACAACTTCAATCAACACTGGACAAGACCTCAGCTCGGATGGCGACATCAAAATTCTAATGGGCGACATGAATGCCAAACTGGGAGGGGACAACACAGGAAGAGAACTAACTATGGGCCGAGAAGCGCTCGGTGAGGTGATGAACGAGAATGGAGAATTGTTTGCAGAATTCTGTGCATTCAACGATTTGGTGATTGGAGTCAGGCGGTGTGTTCAAGCACAAGGATATCCACAAAGCGACATGGATTTGATTTCACCAGACATCAGGACACGCTACACTAAAAACCAGATCGACTTCATGTCAATGTGAAGGGAGTGGAGACGCAGCCTACTTGACACAAGGTGAAGAAGAGGAGCAGATGTAGTTTCAGACCACACACTATCTAGTGCAAGCAAACTACCTTCCAAATCAAGTTAAAAGCCTTCAAGGAAGCTGGTGATAGACCTCAATTCAAGTACAACACTCGGAAACTGAAGGACTAAACTACAAAGGAGATCTTCACATCAGTCAGCCACCAAGACAAAATGGAAGATATCGGGGAACATGCGTGAAGAAACCTGTATGGAAGAACACTGGAAGTCCTTGAAAGAGATGTGAAAAGAAGCCTGCACAACAATATTAGGAAGGCGGAAGAAAGAAGATAAGGAAGGAATGGATCTGGATGGATACATGGAAGCTGATAGAGGAGAGGATGATGGTGATGGTGAAGCAGAAGATAAACCAGTACAAGGATGCTCAACGACAAGAGGAACTGAACACAATGTATAAAATACCACACTGGACAAAGAAGTGAAGAAGAGTGGGTGGAAAGACAAAAGACACTTCTACGAAACACTGGCAAGTGAAGCAGAACAGGCTGCAGGTAGGAGAGACAGAGACCTGACGACATTGTATCAAATAACCAGGTTACAGTCTATCTGGGAAGAAATCAACGCAGACGAAGCCGATAAAAGATGAAGAAGGAAATCTAATTACGAAAGAAGAGAAACAGAGGAAACGATGGGCCGACCACTTCAAGAAGCTCTTGAATCAACCACCACCTTCACTTCGTCCAGAAATACCATCTACAGCCGCTGAATTACAAGTGAACATAAATCCTCCAACAAAAGTGGAAGTCCTGAACGCCATAAAGCTACTGAAATGTGGGAAAGCAGCAGGACCAGATGGGATCTTGCCAGAAGCACTGAGAACAGACGCAGAGACAAGAGCAGCGGACATGCTCACACCACTATTGCAGAAGGTGTGGAAGGAAGAGGAGGTACCTGACAACTGGTTGGAAGAAGGGTTACCTTGCCAAACTGCTGAAGAAGGGAGACCTCAGTGTTTGCAAGAACTAGTGCGGAATCACTCTCCTGTCCACCAGAAGCAAGAAAAATGTTATGATGCATCATCCTGGAGAGGCTTAAGGATGCACTGGATTCAAAACTGCGACCGGAACAGGCAGGCTGGATTCAGGAAGTACAAATCATGTGCGGACCAAATTGCAACGCCACACCACGCATCATCATAGAACAGAGTACAGAACGGCAGTCAACTCTCTCTCTACCTCAACTTCATCGACTTTGAGAATGCCTTCGACCAAGGCGTCGACCGAGGAGTAATTCGGCATGCAGTTGCTTCAACACTATGGAATACCACAAAACTTTATCAATCTCATTCAACAACTATATGAAGATGCCACATGCTGGCCAAGTAATTCACAATGGGAAGCTCAGCTCAGTGATGCTTTTGAAGTGAAGACAGGAGGGAAACAAGGTTGCCGCCTATTATCACCGATGATCTTCCTGGTTGTAGTGGACTGGATCGTGCTGCAAACAGTGGGGAGCGAGAACAGAGGGATACGCTGGACTGCGGAAAAGGATCTAGAAGATCTGGATTTCTACAACGATGACTTGTGTCTGATGTCACACAAACTTGAAGATCTACAGGTGAAAACAAGCAAGTTGACAGAAGAGGTGAGGCAGAGAAGATGGGACTTCAAGCCAACGTAGAGAAGATAGAGGTGATGAAGATATCCAATCAACAACACCACCACCACCAACAGCAACAACAAACTCCAATCACCATGAACGAGAGGAACTCAAAGGAAGTAGCCTCATTCACCTATCTAGGCAGCACAGGCACAGACGAGGATGTCAAAGTCAGGATCGGAAAGACAGCAAGACAGGCGTTCATTAACCTGAAACCAGTGTGGAGATCTTCTGCACTCAGCACAAAGTGTGAACAAGATCCGGATTTTCAACACCAATTCAGTCAAATCAGTGCTTCTGTGTGGCTCAGAGACTTGGTGTGTTACGAAAGGTATTTCCAACAAACTACAGACATTCATCAACAACTGCCTACACTCACCTGATAGTGAAGATCAGATGGCCAGAATAATGAGAATGAGCAACAAGGAACTCTGGCCTGATAACTAACCAACCGTGAAGCTATTACTGAACAAATATGCAGTGGAAGGAAGTGGAGATGGATTTGATTGGGAGTAAACTGATAAGACCGACTGGGACATCACGCGTCAGGCCAGGCATTCAGGTTGAACCTCGATGGGAACCGACGAGTTGGGAGTCTGGGATGAGGGTGACATGTAGGAGATTGTGCGACGAGGGAATGAGAGCTTGTTGGTTTTCGTGGAGCCAGGTTCAAAATATTCCCGAGAACAGAGCTCATTGAAGACGTGCTACTGAAGCTGTATTTTCCACTAGGAACCCAAGGGACAAATAATAACAATAATGAATAATAATGGCCAGCGCTGGATTCCAGGACTCATCAGCCAGATGTACCTGACTAGCACTGCTTGATGCTGCTTTGGTTAAGACTCCAACCTAGGAGCAGTCACCTTAAACACTGGAGCATTGTCCACCAGACCAGTGAGTCAAGTTAGCTACAGGTGATATATCCAAGTTGGACAAAATGCGCGTCCTAGATTCCACTGCTAGCAATTACTTGTCATTAGTATCAAACCTGAGGATACTAGTAACATTGTGGCATGCGCACAGAAGCTCATATGCCGACGATTGTTCTCATGTAAATGATACTGTTCTCGCATTACTGATCCATGATACTTTCGGAATGAGAAATATTGACTGAGGTTATGTAAACAAAGGAAAGGGCAGGATACAAGAGACCACCAAAGCATCTTTCAATTCTTCTATACCTTTAGCTGATTTAAACTCTAAGAAATCCCATATCTCACTCTGATCTCAAAGGCTCCCATCGAACATTATTATTATTGATTATTATATGTCCTCTGGGTTCCTAGTGGAACATACGGCTTCAGTAGCACGTCTCCATTCCACTCTCTTCGCTGTAATCTCTTGAACCTGGCTCCACGATAGCCCAGAAGTTCTCATTTCTTCCTTAAACGATATCCTCCATGTCACCCTCTGACACCCAACTCGCCGTTTCTCATCTGGGTCCTACTCGAGTGCCTGGCGCTTACGTGAACTGTCAGCCATTTCTAACGACGAAAGCCGTTCCATAGGACATTAGCATCTGGCTAAATTTCAGACTATTTTAAATGATATAGTGTTTTGTGTCTCAGTGTCATGATCATCTTGAATTATTAGGGGGTGACAACAATGGCGTATGCGTTTCAATTTGAAGTATGATCTCTTAGGAAGGCTTTATCAAACTGGCAGTTTCTCTGAGGCGGTACATCTTTCCAATAGCAAACTGAGTGTTCTGTGGTGAACTCAAACCAGGGGAGAAACCTGAAACAGAGTAAGCCGTTAAAAGCTCACTTCATTTTGATTTTCAACATATATACAGACCATTTTGAATGTTATTTTCGGAATTTGAAGTAACAGATGTCAGCAAAGTTACTAAGTGGACATTCAGCTTGTAGCCGCCAGGTGTTAATAAGTAGCTGGGTTTTTTGTTATCATTTTCGTAAGACTGGCTTACAATACAACAGTATTGAAATACTTGCTCATCATTACCAAGACACTGTAATGTAAAAGAGATTTCTGTTGCCTGCGTGTATTATGAAAGAAAAGTAATTTCCAGTATTGTGCATTAGGTGTATGCAACATTATTCTTGGTCAGAAACTTACTTTTTCGATTGATATGACATCCGTTAAGTGGATTCCATTCAGCTTCTAAATCGCCTAAACCAGTAACGGGATCACGTGTAATCACTGAAAGGTGAGGAATAAAAGGCAAGAAATAATATACTAAACTATTTTCTACGTAAAACTGGTCTATTAGGAGTTATGCAATGAAATACAAGAGGGAAAGGCTTTACTGATTTATTATTATTATTGTTTGACATTTTGGTTCCTAGTGGAAGATTCGGCTTGAGTAGCACGTCACCATTCGACTCCGTTCTCTGCAGTCTTTCCAATCTGGCTAAACAACTGCCCACAAGCTTTCATTTCTTACTCAAGCGATCTCCTCCACGTCACCCTCACACCTTTAACTCGTCCTTTCCCATCTGGGTTCCACTCGAGGGCCTGACCTGACGCGTGATGTCCCCAGACCGTCTTCTTAGTGTATGTCCAGTTCAATTCATCTCCACCTTCTTCTGCACATTTGTTGGGCTATGGGTTCTTGGTTGGTTCGTTAATTGGCCAGAGTTCCTTGTTGCTTATTCTTATTATTCTGGTCATCTGAGCCTCAGTAACGAGACAGCCTAGGCAGTTGTTGATGAATGTCTGTAGTTTGTTGGAAATGCTTTTCGTAATGCGCCAAGTCTCTCAACCATCACATAGCAGCACTGACTTGACTGACATTAGTGTTGAAAATCCTGATCTTGTCCACTCTTTATGCTGAGTGCAGTCGATCTCCACACTGATTATTTCAGATTAATGAAGGCCTGTCTCGCTGTCTTTCTGATTGTGGCTTTGGCGTCTTCATGTGTGCCACCGCCTGTAGTTGAAACGATGGTGTCTAGTTAGGTAGATGAAAAAGATAACTTCCTTTAGGTTTCTCTCGTTAATGGCAATTAGTGTTTGTTGTTGATTGCTTTCATAAAATAATACAGTTGACTCTATTGCACATTAATTTATTGAAATTGACTTTCAGTTAAATTTTACAGTCTGGCCCATAAGGTTTCATCAATAAACAAGTCTTGTGGATAGTTTTTTATCTGATAACTGCTGAGTTGTACTTAGTCCAATTCTGCAAAGAGCTGAAGTACATTGAAGTTGGAGACAGTGATGTGAGAGTGAACAACATAACCTTGAAAATAGAAAAGAGGCATTTATTCAGCTTAATGGACAATTTTTAATGCTCTATGTAAATGAGTAGAAAAGACAGTTGCATATCAATCTGGAAATCATTTCATGAACTTCACCATGAAGATCATATGATGATCTTTTATGAGAGACAGAAGCTATTTCTGAACTGATTTATCTTCAAGAATATATATCCTTTTGGATATACATGAATCAATATCTTCTAATTATTTTTATCTTTCATGATATTTAGGTCAATAAACAGTTAAGTATATTTGTAAGCATAATTGAGAAAAAGCCTGTGGAATGTTACATTATTTTATTTTTTAGTTATGAGGCAGTGACCTTCTGTACAAGTCCATGCAACATCAATACATGATTCCACTATGTATTCTGATTAAAAGATGGTGAGTTTCTCACTTAACATACACCGTACTTTTAAAACTATTCCGAACTTGGTGTAACAGAAGCTCGAAAGTCTTAACATTCAATCTGATATTGACAGATTGCTGAATAAAGTGAATCAGTCATGCCTCAAAATTATTAGGTGATCTAATTTCACGTTAAGACTAATGAAATCTGTTTCCTGAATCTATTTGTTAAAATATTTCATCCTTAGCTGTGAAATTTCCCAGTCGATCACTGAACAATAACCAATATCATACTTATTTCATTGCTCACTATTAACTGAGTGTTGTGGAGGAAGGGTCAGTTTCCACGGTTTCAGTGCTGAGCTGGATAACTCCAGACCATTGTTTATTTAATCATCAGCAAAGAACTCTTAACTAGAATGTTATATGTATGTGAGATTTGAATCCGAGATCTTAAAAGTGTTGATATTGTCACAGTGGTTGGAATATTGGTCACTTAGAACTAGTAAGTACTTAACTTAGGTTAAAGTGTCCTAACAATTTTGTATAGTAAAGCATTCATAATAAAAAAGATTTAGAAAAGTTGGAATGCGGAACATTACCGCATTGTTGATGATCAATATATCCATTGTACCCTATACCTTCAATAAAGTTAGCATAGAATTCAAGTAAAACTGTTCACTCAGCTGATTTTGACAGTTTATATATCTAAATGAAGTGTAGCGTATACATTCTTTTGATAGAATGACATCAAACACACCTAGCTACTCTTCAACACACAAACCTGAATATGATTATAGTCAACTTGTATGTGAATGTCTTTACTCACCTGTGTACTCAGTGTTATACTCTTACACATGAGTTTAGCAGAACCATTGTCTGACAACAAATATGTTTGGTATTTTACACATCAAATTGTTTAAGCATATAATTCATTATTATTGTTATTATTATCAAATGATTGATGTTATACATAGAGATAAGGAGTTAAGTATTAACAGATATTACTAATTATCGATCGTCAGTAGTGCATTCTTATTACTCGAAGTGAACAAAAATGGTAGAAGTGACAACATTATCAAAGAGTGATTAAAACGTCGATATGCATTTACAAAAGTCCATCAACAGCGGTGATTGGTTACATTCCATGATGAAAAAGATACATTGAAATACAAAACATATTATTGTAATTATTGAATAATCAATGTAGAAAAAGTCAGACGCTTACTGCGATTTCGTAAACCAGTTTCTGGATTTAAATATGGCATATACTTTTCAAGCAAACGAAGCCCTTCTTCTTTATATCGATCGTAGGTATGTTCACAATAAACTAAATAAAGTAAAAAAGCAAGAAAATGTTGAATGAGAAGTGTAATAAAATTATAGTCAATCAATGTACAAAAGATTTAATTATTAGATAAAGAAAGAATTCAACACCGAATACCATAGTTGAGTTTATATATACACACTGATACTCATCTGTAAGGCTTACATGCAGTTTCTTTCTAAAAAGTAAGCACTTCTGTTAGAACATATTTACTTTTGAGCTGTTTAATGTTTCATTCTTCTCTCACGTTAAAGAGTTAGTAACCATGTGACGTACTGTATGATTATCATTCTCCTTTATTATTTAAACGCTACTGTAGTGGATGTTGCCGATCAGAATGGATATAAGTAGTATATGTTGAAAGAGGGTGGTGGAAATCATAAGGAATTACCAGTAGTGGGTAAGGATTCTACCTAGGGAAACGCAAGAGACAATGCGGGCGTACTAACAGCAAAACAAAATAGAAGCAGAAGTGAAAATGAAGCATACCATGGAAATGACTGTCTTAGTGCAATATATATGATGACTATTGTACAAGATGCCCATAATAAACATTCCTTCCTGCATCTCAGTTTTATCGTTTCCTTCACTAACACCTTATACATAGATATGTTGGTAACTATGATTGTTTGTCTGTTGATCACAGTGGATAATTGAGGTACTTGAGGTAAACGATCGTAGATATTTGATAATAGTTGAAAGACTTCACGAATCTTTTCACCACAGCTTCACCTAATGGGAGAATTACTTTTCAGTGACCATTTCATAAGGGTAGTTGAATTTCTCTTGAAAAACTCACTTATTAGCAACTTGACAGTACAACTGATAAATTCGGTCTGTGGAGCTCTTCATCATTAGGCTAAGTGTAGCAAATAATAATGATTCACTTTATTCCATACAATTTGTGATACAATTTGAAATTCTCAGCATCATATATCGCAACAACAACAAAATATATCTGTATATACATACAACATTTCCAATTGTCTCATCATAAACATTTAAGTAATGTAAAGAACATTAAAGATGAGAACATTTCACATTGTTAGTTGAATCATTGAAATGGGTTTCTTAACTGTTACAAAGGTGATATGTGGGTTCTGTTCTAACACAATTTTCCTCACATAATATGCGTTCTAGGTAAGGTACAGTTGAATTCTTGTACTTGGTTGTACGAGCGTACAGTGTTATGTAGTTTCTGTTTATTGTCTTTGAGGAGATATATGTAGAGAGAGAGAGAGAGATCTGTGAATGAAATGGATGGTGAGTGTCAGTTGAAACATCTGTAGTTAGTTGCTTGGTAGAATTTAAATGTTTGTTAACTGTAGTGTTGATCAGTTGAACCAGAGGCATACCCTACCCTTGTGATGGCTTTGAAGGCCGTACGGAACATAACACAGTTCATTTTTAGAAGAGCAGGAAAGATCGATGGTGAATAATGTAGAAGACTGGGTAAAATGCAGAAATTAATAAATTGTAAAAGAAGAGGTTGAGACTAGTTATTTTCAAGAGATTGACTGAGCGAAATATGCCTACCAAGAGAATAGTAGTGCACTCAGATATGGAAGGGAGACGACTGGGGACTCCCAGAAGCGGCATATGCTGATGTAGTTTCATAATGTGAGCCAAAAATAAATTCCTTGACTGGAACAATCAGCGCTCAAATGTAACTTGAAGCCGGATTGGAAAAACTTGTAATGGAATTATGCAAACACAAAAATATTTCAGAAAGCAAATCATCAATGATTGACGTCAGCCATAATAGGCAGTAATAAATAAGAAGTTTAAAACAGCTGTTTTATTCTAGTTTGGACCATCTCTTCGGTGTCTACGCATCATCTCATGAAGCATCAAACTCAGCATTGTCACATCTCGAACTGACCAAATTATCTTTAAGGCAGTTGGCTGTGGCTGGAAGGTAAAAGAGGAGGGTCACTGGATTTTAATCCAGAGGCTGGGGACTAACATGGTCTTCCGATAACTTGAATACTTCAAATTCAATTCTGTAAGAGATTGTGCTTGTGTTCCACTGATATCTCTAAAACTGAAAAAAAACAGCTATCCTGTTCTTGTTAGATGCCAGCAATACTCTGATTGGTAGTAATCTGTGATGAAAACCACTTTGAAATCACACAGTCTCCGGAAAACTTTTAAACTGAATAACAAAATAGTTTAATACTAGAATGAACTTTAAATACAGTGACAGATTGTAGTACTACGCCAAGGAATGAGCCCAGGACCTTCAGTTTTTGTGAGAAGAACTTTATAGTTGACCCACTGGGTTCGAAATCTGTCGGCAACCCTCGTCCAATGCTATCCTTGAGTATTTACTCCTACATGTGACTTGTTCACCCCACTGGTCACCAACTCTCTGTGAAACTTCGGGAAATCTCTTGCTGTTTGTCAGACGTATCCTTTAGAGACGACGTTTTGGACAGAGTTTATTGTTCATGTTCATTTCAGGTAGCTCCACAACTTTGAGATATAATTTATACGATTCAAATTCTCCCTCGTTGATTGTGGTATAAATAGTAGAACTTTTTATATATCTGGAACAGGTGCAGAATTATACCGATTGTATGTACTTGATGTTTATTCAATCAAAAAAGATTCAGTTATCATCCTGTTTATTCATCTCACTAAGTTAGTTTTGAGGATTACCACTTTATGCCATCCTGTTGTGTGGTTGTGTGTTATTGGATGCATAACTATAAGCGAACCTTTTTCGAGATTCTTAATCTTACTAATTTTTCCATAAATCTCTTTACGGTAGACTTAACTGCAAAGAAAACTCTAATTTTTGTAGGAGCAAATCTTAGAAACTGCAGTAGAGCGTACATAATACTAATCACAATAATAATTCACATTATCTCAAACAATTTGTGATACAATTTGAAAATCTCAGCATCATATATCGCAACAACAACAAAATATATCTGTATATACATACAACATTTCCAATTGTCTCATCATAAACATTTAAGTAATGTAAAGAACATTAAAGATGAGAACATTTCACATTGTTAGTTGAATCATCGAAATGGGTTTCTTAACTGTTACAAAGGTGATATGTGAGTTCTGTTCTAACACAATTTTCCTCACATAATATGCGTTCTAGGTAAGGTACAGTTGAATTCTTGTACTTGGTTGTACGAGCGTACAGTGTTATGTAGTTTCTGTTTATTGTCCTTGAGGAGATATATGTAGAGAGAGAGAGAGATCTGTGAATGAAATGGATGGTGAGTGTCAGTTGAAACATCTGTAGTTAGTTGCTTGGTAGAATTTAAATGTTTGTTAACTATAGTGTTAATCAGTTGAGCCATAGGTACAGTATACACCCTACTGACTTCTTCAAGAGCCCTATGCAATATAACAAAGTGTTTTTTTAGTTGACAGGGAAATATCAACAGGTAACAATAGAGAAGACTAGGTAGAATGCAGGAATTAAAGAAAGTAAAGTTTGATTTATACCAGTCAGACTCAGTTTTTTATATAATACGTCAAACGTAAAACACGACCAAGAAGGATCAGAAGTAATAGTCAATCCAAGATAGTTAACACTCAATCTACTTTCTGCAGAAATGCCATCAGTGCTGCGACAGGTGTCATGAGATTTAAACAGCTCACACAGATCTTTTTTTCTCTAAGGCTAAAATTAACAGACTGACATTCAGAAGGGTTTAACTTGAGATAATTTAGGAGAGAGACCATTGTTCATTAAGTCACAAGAATCCATTTAATTTAAAGCAATCTAATTGAGAGTTAATAGGAATGGAAACCGTCAAGTCATCAGCATGCCTAATAAACTTAGTATATAATCCTGTGTCACATTTATCTATTTCATATAGTAAGTTTTATTATTATTATTATTAGTCCCTTGGGTTCCTAGTGGAACATAGGGCTTCACTAGCACGCCTCCAGTGACCTCTGTTCTCTGAGATCTTTTGAACCTGGCTCCACGACAGCCCAGAAGCTCTCATTTCCTCCTCGCATGACCTCCTCCATGTCACCCTCGGACGTCCAACTCGTCGCTTCCCATGGGGATTCCACTCGAGGGCCTGACGCGTGATGTCCTCAGTCGGCCTTCTCAGTGCATGGCCAATCCACCTCCACTTCTTCCTGCATATTTGTTGCGTGATAGGTTCTTGGTTGGTTCGTTCCCAGAGTTCCTTGTTGCTTATTCTCATTATTCTGGCCATCTGATCTTCAGTAGCGAGCCAGCGTAAGCAGTTGTTGATGAATGTCTGTAGTTTATTGGAAATGCCTTTCGTGACGCGCCAACTCTCTGAACCATACAAGAGCACTGACTTGACGTTGGTGTTGAAAATCCGTATCTTATTCCGCATGCTGAGCGCAGAAGATCTCCACACTGGTTTCAGGCTAATGAACGCCTGTCTTGCTTTTCCGATTCTGACTTTGACGTCCTCGTCCGTCCCGCCTGTAGTTGAAACAGTGCTTCCTAGATAAGTGAAGGGGGTTACTTCCTTCAAGTTTCTACCGTTGACAGTGATTGGAGTTTGTTGTTGTTGTTGATGGTGGTGGTGCGGTATCTTCATCACTTCTGTCTTCTCTATATTCACCTGAAGTCCCGTCTTCGCTGCCTCTTCTATCAACTTGTTAGTTTTTGCCTGCAGATCTTCAAGTTTATGTGACATTAGGCATAAGTCATCGGCGAAATCCAAGTCTTCTAGGTTCTTTTCCGTCGTTCAGTGTATCCCCCTCTTCTCGCTGCCTACTGTTTGCTGCATGATCCAGTCCACCACAATCAAGAATATCATGGGGGATAGTAGGCGGCAATCTTGTTTCACTCCTGTCTTCACTTCAAAGGCATCACTGAGCTTCCCATTGTGGATTACTTGGCATGTGGCATCTTCATATAGTTGTTGAATGAGGCGGATAAAGGTTTGCGGTACTCCGTAGTATTGAAGCAGTTTCCAAATTACTTCTCGGTCGACGCTGTCAAAGGCCTTCTCAAAGTCGATGAAGTTGAGATAGAGAGCTGA